CCAGTCTTGGCTACGGAGGCGGAGGCAGGAGGGACAGTCACTGGGGAGGGAGCACTGCCCTGAAAGTTAGGGATTGCCGGTTTGCCAGTGGAACCAACGATGGCGTGGAGGCGGTCCTCTACCTCAGTCAGGGAGGTAGAGAAGAGATCATGAGTGAGCTGCGATGAGCGCGTCGCAGAGATGGGCAAGGCGGTTAGGGAGGCGGGCGACAAGGAAGGAGATAGTGGCGAAGAGGGGTGGCAGGGCAAGCGCTAGCTGGGCTTCTGTGCAGGCAGCATGCTAGCGGGCCTCGAGGGAGTGCAGGCGCTAGACTAAGTCTGCTACAGTGCTGAAGGACCTCAGGTAAGGGTGGAAGAAAGGGAGGAGGAGACGACCAAGAGTGGCAGACGACGGGGTGGAGTACCTAGCGAGGACAGCCAGCCAGAGGGCATGGGTTGATGCAGCACCAACGTGGGAGTGCTCGATAACCGGCAGGCACCTGAGGATGGCGACACGAGCAGTGGCGCCGCGGGACACCCAGATAGAGTAGGCAGAACGAGCAGCAGCGTGCACACCCTGCTGCGCAGATGTCGTGTCAGCAGCAAGAGAGCCCGAGCGGGGGGCAGAAGGGAGCTCACCAGTGACGTGAGCATCCAGGGACTCATCGTCGATGCGCTGACTCGTGAGCTGCAAGAGAACCGCCTCTTGCCAGGCGGCGAAACCGACCGCCCGCCCCTCCCCATCCAGGCGCAAAACGAAGACGCTCGGCGACGCCATGCTAGTGGCAGTGGTGGTAGCTGCAGCTGTGAAGATGGAGGTGGCAGAAGCAGGGACAACAACGGTAGCTGCAACAGGGGCAGCAGGAACAGGTGCTGCAGTGGGAGCCGGTGGCGCAGCGGCTGCTAGCTGGCAGCAGGGTGACGACGGCGGCGGGCCAGCAGCGAGCTGGCTGGCGGCGGTGGCCATGTGGCTGCAGGCTAGCCGCGGGAGTGGCGGCAGCAGCGGCTGCAGTGGCAGTGGCTGCTGGCGGCAAGAGTAGCTGAAGCGGCGGCTGCAGCAGGAGCGGCGGCAGTGGGAGGAGCCAGCAGCAGCAACGGCAGCAGCAGTGGCGGCTGCAGCGGCAGTGGTGGCAGCAAGAGAGCTAGAGCGGCAGCAGCAGCGGCAGCAGAAGTGGCAGCTGCAAGGGCACCAGCGGCAGCGGCAGTGGTAGCAGCTGCAGCAGCAACTACAGCAGCGGCAGCAGCGGCTGCAGCAACGGCAGAGGCGACAGTGGCAGCGGCTGCGGCAGTGGCAGTGGCGGCAGCGGCAGCGGCAGCAGCGGCAGTGGCGGCAGCGGCAGTGGCAGTGGCAGCGGCGGCAGCGCAAGCGGCGGCAGCGGCAGTGGCGGCAGCAGCTGCGGCAGTGGCAGCAGCGGCAGTGCAAGCGGCGGCAGCAGCTGCGGCAGTGGCAGCGGCGGCAGCACAAGCGGTGGCAGCAGCAGCCGCAGCGGCAGCAGCTGTGGCGGTGGCAGCGGTGGCAGTGCAGGCTGCTGCAGTGGCAGTGGCGGCAGAGGCAGTGGCTGCAGTGGCAGCGGCAGTGGTGCAGTGGTTGCAGCACGGGCAGTGGCTGCAGTGCAGCTGCAGTAGTAGCAGTGGCCATGGCAGTGGCACAGGCAGCAGTGGCAGCGGCGGTAGCGGCAGCAGCAGTGGCTGCAGTAGCAGTGGCGGCTGTCTGGCGACTAGCGGGCAGCAGCTGCTGGCGGCGCACTGGCAGTCGCTGCTGGTGACTAACTGGCTGGCGCTAGTGGCGGCGATCTGGATAATACCATTGGCGGCGAGCTGGCTAACGCGGCTGGCTAGCTAGCTGCTGACGTTCTGGCTAGCTGGCTGGCGCGCTGGCTGGCGTGTTGGCGAGCGGGTGGATAGGTGGCTGGCAACACACGCGAGAGGGCGAGCAGAGGCCGGCGGTGGTCAGCAGGGGCGAAACAGCAGACTAAGGACAGGTTGGTAGGCTGGTGAGCTGGTTGGCGAGCGAGGTGGCTAGGTGGCTCGCTAGCTGGCTGGATGGCGTAAGAAATGAGGGGAACGCTAGGGGGGGGGGGGGGGGGGGGGGTGTGTTCGAGACTATGGGGCGCAAAATTAAAGAGGGGGAGGTGCGCAAAATTGAGAGAGCGAGACATGCACGAAAGAAAAAGAGTCTACAGTAACGGCGGAAGCGTGAGTAACGGCGGAAATTTTTTAACCAAGCTCAGTACCATGTTAGAGTACCAGGGATATGTAGCTTGCAAATTTGGCTTTCAAATGCGAGTTGAGTCACTTGATTCCGTAGCCTAGTGATTGAGCTATGGCATTTGGCACACTTGGGGGTAATCTGTCTTTGGAGAAATTGATGGTCCTCAGAGTCACAATCATTGAAGGTTACAAGTTCAAAGGCATAATAGAAACATTGAAGCATAGTTGGAAGATGGGGAAGGAAGGGAAGGATGAAAGGGGAGGACTCTGGAGGCCCTTGGTCTCTCTCAACTCGTTCCTACGTGCTCCACGCTTCCGCCCTAGGTGCTCCCCGCTCCTCTTCCCCCCTAGCCTACACTCCTAGCCTAGGTTAGGCCCTAGTCTGCCGCCCTAGCATGCACTCTAGTCCTAACCCACTGCTACCTGCCACTCCCTGCCCGTTACACGCCGCCCGCCGCTGCCGCTTGCTGCTCGCAGTGCACACTGCCACTAGTGTTTCAAGGGTATTTCACCCTGATTACCCTTGCCAGCTGCCAGTTTTTGGAGTATACCCTGATTTTGTAAGGGTAAAAAAGTGTTTTGGGCTCGAATTTGCCCCAGGCACCCTTCCGAATCAGGGTGAAATCATCCTGCTACCCTGATTCCTAAGGGTGCCTCAAAACCCATCTCGGGCCCTGGCCGCCACGTGCAGCCAGCCAGCTCGCTGCGGCCCGCTCGCCGCCCGCAGCTCGCCGCGGCCTGCTTGCAGCCAGCCCGCTCACACTCCGCAGGCCTGCTCGCTGCCTGCTTGCTCACACATAGCCGGCCCGCTCGCCGCCTGTAGATCGCCGCACTATCAGAGATAGGGTTTTAATTGTATTTCACCCTGATTACCCTTGCCAGCAGCCACTTTCTAAAGTGTACCATGATTTTGTAAGGTTGAAATGTCAACAAACATACTTGTATATCTGGTTAGGTTAGATATGTTTGTTATAACCTGGCTAGGACAACTCTTAGAGGGGAAAACACAATGTACTTGTATCTTCCCTCCCCGCTTTCTAGTCCAACTTTTCAACGCTATTCTGACTGAGCATCTAGAGCAGGGCCAGTAATTCAAGGATAATTCACCCTGATTACCCTTGCCGGCGACCACTTTTCGGATTATACTGATTTTGTAAGGGTAAAAAAGTGTTTTGGGGTCGAATTTGCCCCTGGCACCCTTACAAATCAGGGTGAAATCGGTCGACAAACATGTATTACTATATATCTATGTCTAGTTAGGGTAGTCATGTTTGTTATGTTCAGCCTAGCTAGATCAGCTCTTAGAGAGGACAACCCACTACTTGTATCTCCCCTCCTACTTTCTAGTTACATTTCCTCTTGATAGTTTCACATGGTATAGAGCTAGGTTAGAAAATTTCCTAGCGCCATGCTTCTGCCGTTACTGTAGCCGCGCTCCTCGCTCTCAGCATTTTGCGCTTTGTAGGACCCCCCCCCAAGTGTCCCCCTCTGTTTCATACGCAGCCTGCCAGCCAACACGTAAATTGACAAGCCCGTTCGCTTGTCAACTCGCACGCTCGCCAGCTAGCTACCTAGCCAGCGCTAGCTGCGCCATCCTGCCCGCCCGCCCTTCCCTCGTCGTCTAGCTTCTGGTGGCCATCACCAGCTCGTCGCAAGCCAGCGCGCCGGCCAGTCTCTCAGCGCAATAGACAACAGGCTTGCTGCCAGCAGCACTAGTCAGCTAGCCACTAGCACCACCAGCCAGCTCGCCACCAGCTGCGCCAGCCAGGTAGCCGCCAGCGGTGCTTGCCTGCTCGCCAACGGCAGCACCTGCCTCGGTTGCGGCGGCCATTGAGACCGCTGCGGCAGCCTCCTAGGGCCAGAGGGGCAAGGGGGGCAAGGCTCATGGGGGGTCGGCAGCAGCGGGTGGTGGGGGTGCGGGTCCAGACGGAGAGGGTTAACAGTCGGAGTCGGGGACTGCACAGCAGCTGCAGCTGCCGTGGGGGCCAGCAGGCCTTGGGAATGGTGGTCGTGGTGGAGGCCATAGAGGTTGAGCCCCAAGGCAGTCGGTACTCTGGGGGTCGAGTGGCTCTTCTGTGCTCCAGGGAGTTGGTGGTTCTGGAGGCACATTGACCTGCACGTACCAAGGGCTGACCGGCTTGCAGGCAGGCCAAGTCTGCGGGCGCGCAGGGCACGCCGCTGCTTGCTGCTACCGCCAACTGGACAGCCACTACCATCACCAGTACAGCCCCCTGGTGCAGGTACCCCATTAGTCCACCTTGCTTTGTCAGGTGTTGCGATCTAATTTGGATATGGTTCAGATAGGTCCTGCCTTGTATTCTCTGTATGCTGATGACACTAGTGCTACTGGGTCTAGGATCCCCTGCTGCGTCAAGCATAAACTCCCCTGCTGCATCAGACGTAGGTTCTGTTAGCCATGCTTCACTGGGCCCTGACATGTTGGTCCTCTCCTTTATCCTAGCCTCTCCTTCTTTAGAGGCAGCACTGCTCTCACCCCGCTTCCTACGCCTGTCCGCGTCACACTAGCAGACTCCTCAGCCACATGTGTCGCACGCACCACGATCACACTCCCCATTCCAGCTGTCCCCTCTGGCTCCCTCACTGGTCTACACATCCCCTTAACTCAGAATTTTCTGCAGCACTTCGTTATGACACCCAGAAAGTTCGCGACCTTCGGAAAAGCTATATCCGAAAATCAAATCAGTGAAACAATCTGAACATTGGATATCTAGCTTGCAACTTTGGCTTTGAAATGCAAGTTGAGTCACTCGATTCCATAGCCTAGCGATTGAGCTATGGCATTCGGCTCACTGGGGGGTAATCTGCGTTTCTATCCTCGATTTGGGGCACTCGATTCCTCTCTCTCCTCTCTATCCTCTCTCTCCTCTCTCTCCTCTCTCTCCTTCCTCTCCTTTCCCTCCTCCCTCTCCTTTCTTTCCTCCCTCTCCTTTCTCTCCTTTCTCTCCTCTCTCTCCTTTCTCTCCTCCCTCTCCTTTCTCTCCTTTATCTCCTCTCTCTCCTTTCTCTCCTGCCTCTCCTTTCTCTCCTGCCTCTCCTTTCTCTCCTCCCTCTCTTTTCTCTCTTCCCTCTCCTTTCTCTCCTCCCTGTCCTCCCTCTCCTCTCTCTCCTTTCTCTTCTCTCTCTCCTTTCTCCCCTTTCTCTCATCTCTCTCCTTTCTCTCCTCTCTCTCCTCCCTCTCCCTTCCTTCCTCCCTCTCCATTCTCGCCTCCCTCTCCTTTCTCTCCTCTCTCTCCTTTCTCTTCTCACTCTCCTTTCTCTCCTCTCTCTCCTTTCTCTCCTCCATCTCCTTTCTCTCCTCCCTCTCCTTTCTCTCCTTCCTCTCCTTTCTCTCCTTTCTCTCCTCTCTCTCCCCTCTATCCTCTCTCTCCTCTCTCTCCTCTCTCTCCTTGCTCTCCTTTCTCTCCTCTCTCTCCTCTCTCTCCTCTCTCCGTTCTCTCTGTTCTCTCCTCTCTGTCCTTTCTCGCATTCCCCTTCGTACCCCCTCAACCTACAACAGGACATCTACTAAGCACTCACCAGCAATTCACCCATCGGCTACCAGCAGGGCTTCTTTGTGCACGCCTATCTACTATTGCTGGGTGTTGCTCCTGTGAGTGTCGGTTTGCAATTGTGTCTTACTAGTAGGTAGCCCTGTTGGTCTCTACTCAACTACCCTCTCTCACTCTCCTTTGTCCACTCCTACTTGCTACTATTGCTGGGTGATACGTTGCTCCTGAAAGTCTATTGACATCCTCTGTTAAGCTCTGCCCACATGGCCTCTCTCAATCTCCTTCGTCCACCCTATCTGCTAGAGCTGGGTTTTGCCTGCACCATCCCTTGTGTCTTCCTCGGTTTCCCCCTTAAAGTTTCTGACTGGCACTCTTACCACCCGCAGTCTCATTGGTTCTTTCACAGGCGTGACGTCGTCTTTGATAAGTCTGTCTCCTTCTACACCCGCTTTCCCCACCAAGGTCTCATGGTTACCCCAGCCCCTTTCCTTGCTCCCACTCCCCCAATAGCTCCTGCTCCTCATCCTGCCTTGTCTGGTGTGTCGCACGTCATTCCCGTTCCTTCGGTTTGCCCAGCGGAGGAGTCTGCTGACTCCTTTGCCCCTGCGCCTCAGTGTCCGCCACCTGTTTATGCGGCGCCTGCACCCTCGGTCCTGGTGTCTCCTCCGCCGCCGCAGCAGCAGCAGTCGCCACCGCAGCCGTCACCGCTGCCACAGCAGCAGCAGCAGCAGCATAAGCAGCCGCTGCAGCAGCAGGGGTCAATTGGCTATGTTGGCACTTTGGGTGCTGGTTCTAAGGGGGTGCTCGTTCTGCGGGCGCTAGTCTTGGGGGTGCTGTCACGGCGAGTCTCGGCGGTCTTGGGGGTGGCGCGGGTGCTGGAGAGGGTTCTAATTCTGAGGGTGCTAGTCCTGGGGGTGCTGGTTCTAGGGGTTCTGTCAAGATGAGCACTAGGGGTAGCCATGGTGAGGCTGGAGGTCCTGGTGTGGGCGCGGATCGGCCGCAGCAGCCGTAGCAGCAGCAGCAGCAGCAGCAATCGCTGCTGGTGTCCGCCCTTCACCTTCTCGGTCTTCCCTTCCCCGACCACCCCCCTGCGCCTCCCCCGACGCTGCCTCCTCTGCCTCTCTATGGCCCTGTGTTTCCTCCGTCAGACTTGTCCCCAGCCCGTTTCCCCCCACGTTCTCCCCGTGTGTCTCCTCCGTTGTCTCCTAACCCCACACCCCCCTCTTGAAGGTAGTCTCACCGCCCCTCTCTTGCTCGTCTCAGCTCTCCCACTCCAAGTGTTCACCCTATGTCTCTTCGTTCTCACACGTCTCGTGCTCCTCTCCCTCCTCTTCTCAAGTCGCCTCCATAGTCGGCTCTCGCTGCCACTCCCCCTCCTTTCTCTGACTTCCTCCGTGCTGCTCGCCCTCTTGTTCCTCCTATCCTCGCTTCTCTTGTTACCGACCTGTACGCTCCTGTCTCCAGTCTCGACGCTCTTGTAGCTGCCGTCGCTAACTTTGCCTCTACCCACCGCCTTGACTATGCCACTGCTCTGGTCTCTAGCCCTGCCCATCCTCCATCCGTCAAGGGTGCACCTGCCCTTGGCAGTGACGTCCAAGAGGACTGGAAGTACGAGCTAGCTTTCCTGTCCAAGGTCGCTCCTCATCTCTGCTCCATGCTGCTAGCCCCAGAGGGTGACCCAAACGCTCTTGACATCCTGACCCCTCGCACCTACGCTGAGGCGACTTTGGACCGTGGGCCTCTCAGGGGATAGCTGCCATGGAGCAGGAGATGGCATCTTGGACATAGTTCCCCTACCAGGGGCGAATGTAGTCAATGGCCGGTGGCTCTTCAAAGTGATGCGCCCTCCTGGAGTGCCGCCAGTGTTCAAGGCATGCTACGTTACTACAGGCTTCAGTTAGCAAGAGGGGTTGACTTCTTTCAGACCTTCGCCCCGACCCTGAAGTTGACTTCTCTTCGGGCGCTGCTTCACATAGCAGCATAGCGCGACTACAAGCTCCACTCGCTGGACGTCTCCACAGCATTTCTCCAGGGTAGTCTGCATGAGCAGATCTATATGCCCTACCCTCCAGGCTTCTGTGACACTTTCCCTCCTGGGACCGAGTGGTTCCTCCACCGCCCGGTTTACTGTCTGCGGCAGGCGCCCCATGAGTGGCACGACACGCTGCGTGCTACGTTAGCAGACCTGCAGTTCTTCCCATCCTATGCCGACCCGTTCCTCTTCGTTTGCTCAGGCAAGGCTCCGTTCTACATCCTAGTCTACGTAGACCAACTGGTCTTCGCTACTGCAGACTGAGACGCGCTGGCCTCAAGTGAAGGCCGAGCTGCTGAGGAGACACATCGGCACTGACCTGGGAGAGCTGCACCGCTACCTTGGGCTGCTGATCTCCAGAGACAGAGCAGCACGCACCATCACTCTTACCCAGTCACACTAGGTGTGCTAGGTCGTTCAGAGGTTTGGCCTTCAGTTCTCCTCCGCACAGCCTACCCCTCTGCCAATGGACCACAGGGTCTCGGCGCCAGTCCCTGACGAGCCAGTCGAGCCTAGTGGTCAATACGCAGAGCTTGTAGGTTGCCTCATGTACCTGATGACCTGCACTCGTCCAGATCGCGCTTAACCTCTTAGTATTCTAGCTCGCTTTGTTCCGACAGGCAAACACCGACCCGCAGCACTGGTTACCTAGCAAGTACATTAGGGATGGTGCTAGTGCTGGAAGGACGAAGGCCAATGGTTTTCACAGGGCACACAGATGCTTCGTGGGCGAACGACGCTGAGACGCTCAGGTCCTCCCAGGGCTACTACTTTATCCTTGATGCAGGCCCTATCTCGTGGAGGTCCACCCGCTCATCGTCTGTTGCATAGTCCAGCTGTGAGGCTGAGATCTGTGTTGGTGCCATGGCGGTACAGGAGCTCTACTGGCAGACGTTCTTGCTCACTGACTTTGGTGAGCAGCTTAGTTCTGCCCCAGTCCTGTACGCTGACAACATGGCCATGATCCTCCTATGTCAGGAGCCTCAACTAGAGGGCAGAGAGAAGCACATCCAGCTGCGGTACTTCCTCCTGTGCCAGCTACAGCAGCGCAGCCAGTTACGCCTAGTACACTTAGCCTCCAGTGCCAACACAGCTGATATCTTTACCAAGGTGTTTGCGCCTAAAGATCATCAGCGGCATTGCTTACAGCTTGGTCTAGTTCCAGTAGCTCCTCACTTGCTAGGACCGTGACCTTTGTACCACTCCAGATATTATCCTGACTGGCCTTGTGGCTCTTGTCCCAGTAGCAGGACTAGTAATGCCACCCTGGGTTACTCTTTTTTGTTTGTACTCTTGCTGACTTGTCTTCGGACCCTTGCCTCAGAGTTTGGACTAGTAGTGCCACCCTGAGCTGCGTGTATCTTGCTAGGCACTGCCGCTTATCTACCCTAGGGGGTGTATCAACTTATACATATGCATTATATGTAGAAATTGTAGGTTAAATAGGGTTGTGTTCTTAGAGGGTACAATACCAACCCTATATCTCTCTTTTACTGCCTTGTTGTAGTCACTTAGCTACTCTGAGAAGCAGCACAGCTAAGGCCACTTAAGAGGAGAAGCGTCTCGATTGGCTTTTCTATAGAATACCAGTTAAATTCTTCCTCGATGCCCTCCTCACCCCTGGCTTTCAATCAATCTTCGTCTCACCAACAACAGCAGCTGCTGCAGCAACACCAACCGCAAAAGCTGCTGTTACCGCAAAAGCTGCTGTTGCTGCAACAGCACCTGCCTAAAGCATCATACGCACTGCTCAACTCCCCTCTCAAGGGTTCTTCGGTGATGCTACGCCAAACCAGCTAGTAGCAGCAGCGGCGAAGACTCCAGAGTGACAGGTCACGCAAGACTGTCCATAGCCGGAAGCAGAGGGCTGTGTAGCTAGCTGGGGCCATTGCGGCTCGCTAGGGCGGTACGGCGAGACAGGGCCGACGCAACGAGCAAAGGGCCAGGGCAGCGGGCTAGGGGCCAGCGCTGCGCAGCTAGGGGGCAGCGCGGCGGGCTAGGGGCCTGCATGGCATGGCGGGCTAGGCGCGCCACGGTGGGCTAGGACGAGGCGGGCCATGGTAGGCTAGGGCGGACGCCCGGGTGGGTGGGATCTACCTAGTCTGATACCATCTCAGAGTAGCAAAAGTGAACTCAAGCAAGGGGCATACAGAATGTTATAGGGTTTGGTGTTGTACCCTCTAAGAGCACATACCCTTCTAGCCTATAACTATACATGTACTACAAATGTATCAGTTGACACATCAAACGTAGATGATGCTGGTGACAAAATGCTACCTGGATTCACCAACCTCCGTCCGGATCCCCCCTCGAAGCTGCAAATCAAGCAACAGAGCAAGCAGCGTGGAAGAGCATTTATATTAAAAAAGGGATGAGAGGGGGCCGATTCTGTGGTAAGGCCTAGGGCTTGGATGTGTATCGATGTAATCAGCCCAATGTGAATGACCAAACGTGTGCTACCTAGGGTTTAGTACTTTGTATATGCAGATTACCAAGCTTGTGGTTTAGTACCAAGCGTACGCTTAGTTCTGGGTCCATGGTAAGTACTAAGCCTAACCTAAGTGGATAGTAAGAACCAACCATATTGTTAGTATGTTATCAATGATACCCGCAATATGGACTAAAGTGAGTATGAAGCCTAAGGTTAGGTACCAATTTCATGGTACGTACCAAGCCTAATGTACAGTTTCAAATCTATGCAAAGTATTAAGCCTAGGATTAAGTATCGTGTCTCAGCATACGATTTAGTACCGTGTCTATTGTAAGAACTCAGCCTAAGGTTTAGTACCGAGTCTATGTTAAGTTCTAAGCCTAATGTTCAGTACCGGATGAATTGAAAACACCCACAATGTAAGAGGGACAACTCAATGGTACATATGCAATAGCTTAAAGTACTGAGTGTATGTGTACCAAGCCTATGGTTTAGTTCCTAGTCTATGGTATGTACCAAGCGAAAGGTTAAGTACCGGGTCTACGGTAAGTACTCGGCCTAAGGTTTAGAATGGTGTCGTAAGTACCAACTCTAAAATTTAATACCGGGTTTAATACAAATTGTTAGACTTAGATCGTACTGTACACTCAGAGCTTTGCTTTAGGCTTGGTACTTTCCATTGGCTCGAAACTAAACAATAGGGTTGGTACTTACCGTGCACTCGGTATTACAGTTTAAGCATACCATTGATTTGCTATTAAATCGGCTTCGCACTTTGCATAGACACGGTACAAAACCTTAGGCTTGGTACTAATCATTGGCTGATACTAAAGTTAGACTTAGTAATTACCATGGATGCGGTTCAAAGGCATAAAACTGACAATCACCTTGCTAGTAAACGTTGGCTTGGAACTTGCCGTTGACCTGGCATTATATCATTGATTGGGTACTTTATGCATGGTCCTTAACATTTGCTCAGTACCAATCGTTAGCCTCAGAACTTAATCCTAGTCTTGGTGATTCCCATTGGCTCGGTACCATTGACTGAGACATATGCGATGGTATGAAGCAATTACGCATGCATGGAAGGAGGACATGAAATACGCATTGGGCTGGACAAGATGCAGGTATGTATGCAAGCTGGTGACTTAACATGTACACAAATACGTAATGGCAAGATGAATACAGACATACCTGATGGAATGATGGCAACTTAACCTTAAGCTTGGTACTAAATAGCGTCTTGGTACTAATAGCTAGGTTTAGTACTTGTTGGTGCAACCGTATGGCTTGCACTCGGCTTGTCGTCCTTGTTTGTGTGTGTGCATGCATGGCATGGAATGAATTGTGAGTCTATTTCATTGCTATCCAGTGCTTGTGTGTGTGTTTGAATGGTGTATCACAATGTGGTTTGTGTCGGTCAAGACATTAGCGAGTTTTTACAACTCGCATGTCAAGTCGTCGTTTGTGTGTCGCATGTGTTTTTTCTATTTTGTCGAGTGTGAAGTGTCCATCGTGTCGCAGGTGTGTGCAGCAAGCCCCCATCAACTCAAGAAGAATTTATCTTGCAGATCCAAGAACAAGAGCTCAAGATTTCAAGCCCAAGGGACGCTGATAAATATTAAATAGTGAAAATAGTAACGTTACTTCGTGTAGTGTTACATTTCACTTGGTGTACCCCCTTGGAGGGTTGGTTTCGAGACTCTCCATGGTTGGGGACTCTGTGGTGGTGTACCACCAACCTGGACCTCGGCTCTTGGGGTATGTAGAGGCTGGGAACCATCTCCATCTCGAACTCTTCTTGCTAAGTTTGTACTTCCAAGACTATAGTGGCTGCTATACCTCCTGCCAGTAAAACCGCCATAGCGTCGTCAAATCTTCATGGAATTTCATGATTCAACTTGCTGCTGATAGACGACAGCAACGCGCTCCATATCCAATTTACAGATCACCGTGTAAGTCAGCCAGCAGATCGTTATCAATATTTGAAGCCGTCTGACGGAAATCCGACTGTGCTCTCTATCTCTCATTATAGGCACATCTGAGCCTATTGTGACTATAACAGTACTTACCCTGCCTAAGCCTTAGACTTGGTACTTACCATTGACTCAGTAATTCACTTAAGGCTAGGCGATTACCACTGGCTCGATTTGTAAGTTAGGCTGAGACATAAATGATGGTATGAAGCAATAATGAATGCATAGAAGGGATAGAGGCAATACACATAAGGTCTGGGCGAAATGTCACGTGTATGTATGCGTTAGATTAGCGAGAGAAATTTGACTTAGGACAATGTCGAGAGGAATACAAGAGTGGGGTTGGACCCCCTAAGAACTGACCAAGATAGGATATATCTAATATATACTAACTAGCTTGTATATATTTGTTGACACACCCCCTAGCCTAGAAAGTGACAGTACAGAGCAAGCTAGGGCAACACTAGTAGTCTAGCCTCTGGTGTATGTAGAAAAGCAACTCACGGCAGAACTAGTAGTCTGGCGTCTGCTGTATGTAGAAAAGCAACTCACGGCACAACTACTAGTCTGACCACTGAGACAAGGGCCACAAGGCCAGTTAGCAAGAGTTGCAAGGCAAGTAGGTATAGAATAGCAAGTACAAGTCGGTATAGCATAGATCAGGATACAAGTAGGGGAGCAGCTACTAAGACTAGACCAAGCTGAGTACAGAACCGCTGATGGTCACGAGGCGGAAGTGCCTTGGTAAAGATACCAGCTGTCTTGGCCTCTGAGGCCAACTATACTACACGGGCCTAACAGCGCTGCTGCAACTCACACAGTAGGAAGTACCGCAACTGGATGTGATTCGCCCTGCCCTCAAGGCGAGCCTCCTAACACAGGAGGATCTTGGCCCTGTTTTCAACAAACAGGACCGGGGCAGATCTACGGTGCTCGCCTAAGTCGGTAAGCAAGAACTACAACCAGCAGAGCTCCTGAGCGCCCATGGCCCTAGCATAGATCTCGGCCTCACAACTGGACTGAGCTACAGACGACGACCAAGTGGACCTCCACGACACTGCACCGACACCAAGACTAAAGTAGTAGCCTTGTGAGAACCTGAGCATCTCCAATTCGTCAGCCCACGACATGTCTATGTGTCCAGTGAGCACCACTGGTCGGTGCCTACCTGTCGCAACAGAGCGAGCAAGGATACTGAGAGGGTACGCTAGATCGATTCGAGTGCACGTGATCAGGTACATGAAGCACCCCACCAGCTCTGCGTATGGACCACTAGTCTCGGCCGGCTCAGCCGGAACAGGAGCAGAGAGCTTGTGATCAACATGCAAAGGGTTGGGCTGGGTTGAGGAGAACTGGAGACTAAGAGGGTGTGATTGTACGCACGGCACGGTCACGAGAGATCTCCAAGCCCAGATAGCACCTCACCTCCCCGGGTCAGTGCAGGTGTGCCTCCTAAGTAACTCAACCTTCACTGAGGCCAGTGCGACTCTGTCAGAAGTAGCAAAGGTAAGACTGTCTACGTACACTAGGATGTAGAACATAGTCTGACCAGTTCAGTCAAAGAGCGAGGGGTCAGCAGAAGACGGGAAGAATTGCAGAGCAGAATGTGTGGTGTGGAGCGTGTCATGCCACTCACGGGGTGCCTGACGCAAAGCGTAGACAGGGCGGTGCAAGCTTTACGGGGTCCCAGGTGGGAAGGACCCAGAGAAGCCAAGAGGGCGCCGGAGGTAGATCTGCTCGTGCAGACTACCCTGCAGGAAGGCTGTAGAGAAATCGAATGAGTGAAGCTCGTAGTCATGCTGCGTGGCTAGGTGAAGGAGCACCCAAAGAGTACTAATCTCCAGGGTAGAAGAGAAGGTCTGGAATAAGTCCACACCCTCTCGCTGATTGAAGCTTCTAGCTACGTAACACGCCTTGAACTTCGGCGGCTCTCCAAGTGCGCGCTTCACCATATAGATCTACATGCCATCGACTACGTTCGCCCTAGGCGGGGGAACTGCGTCGACGTAAGTGCCTGTGGATTTGTAGAATGTCATCCCTGCCTCCATATCCTGTATCCACTGGGCTGCCCTGTCACCTGAGACCGCCTCAGCGTAAGAGCGCGGACATGGGGTACAGCAGCTGCACGGTAAGCCAGCTCGCACTGCTTGTCCTCTAACCATAATTGCCAGGACAGGCAGGTGCACCCCTGACGGACGGAGAACAGGATGGGTCAGAGACCAGGGCTGCAGCATAGTCAAGGCGGTGGCTATTAGCAAAGTCAGCAACAACAGCGACAAGCGCAGAGAGAGTATCAAGAGGAGCAGTAGAATCAGTGACAAGAGACGCAAGCAAACGGAAGGTGGTAGGATGAGCAGTGTGAGCAGAGTCATTGGGAAGGGCAGAGGACAGTGGGAGCGGTGACGGGGGAGGTAATGGAACGACGCGGACTGGAAGAGCACGAGGACGAAGGACCATGGGGTGGATACGAGCAAGAGGAGAGATAGGTTGAGAACTAGGGGAACGACAGACCCTGTGGGGATGGATGGGGGACTGGGGGCGAGGGGGAGCGGGGGAGCGGAGGAGAGCGAGGGGGGAAACGAGCAAGAGAGGAGTCCCGGGGGTGGAACAACGGGTCGTAAATAGGGTCAGGCGGGAGATGAGGCATAGTAGGAGGGATGGGCGGTTGGTGGGGGGAATCGGAGGAAAGGCCAAGGAGACAAAGGGCAGACTGTGGCTGCGGCTGGGGCTGCGGCTGGGGCTGCGGCTGCGGCTGTTGCTGCTGCTGCTGCTGCTGCTTCTGCTTCTGCTGCTGCCACTGCTGCTGCTGCTGCTGCTACTGCTGCTGCTGCTGCTGCTGCTGCTGCTGCTGCTGCTGCTGCTGCTGCTGCTGCTGCTGTGCCTGATGCTGCGGCTGCTGCTGCTGCTGCTGCTGCCGCCGCCGCTGCTGCTGCTGTTGCTGCTGCTGCTACAGCTAATACTGCTGCTGCTGCTCCTGCAGCTAATGCTGCTACTGCTGCTGATGCAGCTAATACTGCTGCTGTTGCTGCTGCTGCGGCTGCGGCTCCCTGCCCTCTCCAGGACCTCCAGCCCCACCCTGGCTACCACCTGTACTCTCTGAAACTGCACCACTAGGACTAGCACCCCCTGACGCACCACGTACAGAACGAGCACCCCCAGAGTCAGCACCCCCAGAACCAGCTCCCCCAGAGTTAGCACCTCTAGGACCAGCACCCCCAGAACCAGCTGTTAGAAATAAAATGCAAATCTCACTTTTGTATTTGTACTTTTATATCTTAGTTTAGATGAGGAATATTCTCGCGGGTTGGGATGTACTCCCAAAATCCCAACCTCACCCAATTGTGATCTCGCTAATATCCAATTACCCAATTGAATCTTCCGGAGATACCAATGGGGATTCCCTCCGATTCCCCCCTTCATCTATGCTCCCTCACCTTGCCATGTACTTATAGAACCTTGGGCTCCTTATCTAATCAATAAATTCAGCTCCATTTCTTACATTGCGGCCCATCACTGTCTGATCTGTCACCAGCTTGAACTTCCGCCCTTGAAGATAGACGCGGAACTGACTAACTGCCCACACCGCGGCCAGCCCCTCGCCCTCATAGGAGCAATAGTTTGCCTCGGCTGCGTTGCAGTTCCTGCTCACGAATGCCACGACCCGCTCCTCTCCGTTCCATGGGGCTATGTGCTCCTTGACCGGGTTTGCAGTCTATGGGGGTGTGTTAGAAGTAGACTGCAAATCCCACTTTCGTATTTGTACTTTTACATCCTAGTTTAGATTAGGAATGTTCTCGTGGGCTGGGATGTACTCACAAATCCCAACCTCACCCAATTGTGATCCCCCCCAATCTCCAGTTACCCAACTGGAGATTTTGGAGATCCCACTGGGGATTCCCTCCGATTCCCCCCTTCATCAATGCTCCCTCACCTTGCCATGTACTTATAGAGCCTTGGGCTCCTTACCTAATCAATCAATTCAGCTCTCTTTCTTACACCAGCATCCCCAGAGCCCACTACCCCATGCGGCTACCGCTGCTACTGCTGTGGCCGCCGAGGCTGCTGTGGCGGCTGCTGTTGCTGCTTCTGCTGCGGAGGAACGGGGGGAGGTTGCTGAGGTGCTTGGGGTACCGGGGTTGAGGAGGGAGGCTGCTGAGGTGCCTGGGGTACCAAGGTTGAGGAGGGAGGCTGCTGAGGTGCCTGGGGTACCGGGGTTGAGGGGGGAGGCGCTGCAGGGACAGCAGGCGCAGCCCCAGCGACAAGGCCCCCTGAGTAAGCAGACTCCCCCACGGGCCCAACCGAGGGGAACGGAGTGGCGTGAGAGACACCTGGTGGGGCCGGGTGGGCTGGGGGTGCGGGCAGGTGGGGTAGGGGTGAGGAAGAGAGGAGTACGAGGGACAGTAGAGCTGTGGTGAAAAAATCGCCAGTAGTAGGGGAGTGTATCGTCGATGGTAATATAACCAGGTGGTAAAAAGGGCAGTCTGAGGCATCAAGCGAAAACCCAAGGAAGGCACACGGGAGAGTGTGGGCTGAGAGCTTGTCCGCGCAGTGGTGCGGATGTGAGCAAGGCTACCCCAGACGTAGAATGTAGAGGCGTAACCGGGGAACCTTGTCCATTGAAGGGTCGGCGAAACTCGTTGGCGCAGGGAGCGCGGCCACAGGTTAAGCTGGTGAGCTGCGTAGTGCACGGCGAACGGCCATAGGAAATTGGGTGCACCGGCATGAACCAAGAGGTGCGAGCTACCTCCATGACCAAGCCGATGCATCTCTCAGCGACCCCATTCTGCTATGGGGAGTCCGGCGTCTAGCAGCTGCCATGCGCACGGCAGAACACTCCAAGACGACCGAAGGTGAACTCGCCAACATGGTCAGCGTGTAGATGGATCACGGGCAGGTGGCGCTGGGTGCGGGCAGCAAGCAGCCACTGGATGAGAGTGTCAGACACGTCGGCCTTCCGTTACAGTGAGAACACCATGGTGAAGTGCGTGAAGTCGTCAACTACGACGAGGAGGAAGCGCTCCCTGCTAAGACCATGGATAGGGGCAAGGCCCCAGACGTCCATGTGCAGTGTGTGTAGAGGTGCTAGGGTAGGAGGAAACGAGGAGGAGTGAGGGGCAGTGCGCTGCCGGCCCTCGACGTAGGAGGTTCACAAGAGTGCTACCAACAGAGGCAGGGCTGGGACCGATGCAGGAAGGCAAGTGACTAGACCGTGCTGGGACATGTGCCTCAGATGCGGGAGTGCAGGGTGACCTAAGCGGTGGTGCCACGGAAAGTTCGGGTGGGCGACGGAGCAACAAGAGCACGACACGGCTACCTCAGCGAACGTAGCAACTAGTGGGGAAAGTGTGTGCAATGTGAAGAGACCGGATGCTGGGTTATGCTAAAAAATGGCTAGACGTCTACCTCTGGCTGTGTCTGTACAGGCTGCGTGTCTCGCGTAGCCAAGCAGTAACGGCTATGGCCGGAGGCTGACGGCAGTAGTAGCGAGTGACAGTAAGGTGGCAGTGGCGGCTAGCTTGCGGCGAGCTGGTAGCTAGAGGCAACAAGCTGGGAGCGAGCTGGCGAGCAGGCAAGCAGGCAGCGAGCTGGCGAGCTGGCTGCTGTGAGCAGTGAGATGGTGTGCTGGCGGCGAGCTGACGAGCGAGTGAGCACGCGAAGAGGCTGGCCAGCTGACGACTAAGCTAGCTAGCAAGCTGGCAGGCACTGCTAGCGGCTAGCTGGCAGGCGCTGCTGGCGGCGGGCAGGCAGGCGCAGCTGGCGGCGAGCTGGCAGGTGCTCCTGGCGGCTAGCTGGCAAGCGCTGCCAGCGACGAGCTGGCAGGCACTGCTGGCAGCGAGCTGGTCGGCGTTGCTGGCGGCTAGTGGGCAGGTGCTGCTGGCGGCTAGCTGGCGGCGGCTAGCTGGCGGTGAGCAGCGGGGGGCAGTGGCGGTTGGCAGCAGTGGGGGGTAGTGGCGGTTGGCAGCAGCAGCGGGCAGCAGCGGCTGGTGGGCAACAGCAGGCAGCAGCGGCTGGTGATCTGCGGCGGCGGGCAGCAGCGGCAGGCAGTGGCGACTGGCAGCAGCGGCTGGCGGGTGATGTCGGGCAGCGGTGAGTTGGCTGCGGCAAGCTGGCGGCAGCGAGCTGTGAGCTGGTGGCGGCTTGCTGGCGGCTGGCGCTGGCGGCTAGCAGCAGAATGCTGGCGCTGGTGGCTAGGGCTGGCTGTGAGCGGCTAGCGCTGCTGGCGGCGGCGGCTGGTGCTGCTGGCAGGCGGCGTCTAGCGCTGGCTGCTGACCCTGGCAGCGGGCAGCTAGCGCTGCTGCTGCTGGTGGCTGGCACTGGCGAAAACCTATGAGTTGGATCTGGAGAGTGTTGCTGTCACCTATCAGCAGCAAGTTGAATCATGAAATTCCATGATGGTTTGACGACGCTATGGCGGTTTCACTGGCAGGAGGTATAGCAGCCACTATAGTCTTAGAAGTGCAACCTTAGCAAGACGAATCGAGATTGAGATAGTTCTCAGCCTCTACAAGCCCCAAGAGCCGAGGTCCAGGATGGTGGTACACCTCCATACAGTCCCCAACCACGAAGCGACTCGAATCAAACTCAACAAGGGGCTGGACCAAGTGAAATGTAACACTACATGAATAGCATTACTATTTTCACTATTGTTATATATATCCACTTCCCTTGGGCTTGAAACTTGAGCTCTTGGTCTTGATTCTGCAAGATAAATTCTTCTTGAGTTGATGAGGGCTTTCTGCACACACCTGCGACGCGATGGACACTTCACACTTGACAAAATAGAAAAACACATGCGACACGCAAACGACGACTTGACATGCGAGTTGTGAAAAGTCGCTAATGTCTTGACCGACACAAACCACATTGTGATACACCATTATAACGCATACACAAGCACTAGATAGAAATGACATAGACTCACAAGTCATTCCATGCCATGCATGCACACACACAAACAAGGACGACAAGCCGAGTGCAAGCCATAGGGTTGCACCTACAAACTCCCCCTCGGATTGTTGGCCTTAGAATCTGCTCCCCTTAGTTTAGAGCCATCCCAACAAGCTTGCAACACTTCCAATGCTGCTGTTCAACCAGCCACTTGGTCATCATGTCAGCTGGCTGCGCCGTCGTCTTTACGAAGTGCAACTCCACTTCACCCACGGTTACCATGCTCCTCACCAATGCCATTTCACCTTCATGTGCTTGGTAAGGCCATGAAGAACGGGGTTCTTAGCCAATGCAATAGCACCTTGGCTATCACAGTAGAGTGGGGTAGGTCCTTGCTGCTCCTCCCCCAATTCAGTTAGCAAACGCCGCTGCCACACAACCTCTCTTATGGCACGGAAGAGTGCCATGTACTCGGACTCCACCGAGCTCAATGCTTGGTCCACTTGTTTCTTGCTCTCCCAAGCTGTTGGCCCTCCTCCAACACAGCAGATGAATCCTCCCACACTTGTTATATCCTCTGGTTCTGATGCCCAAGATGCATCAGAGAAGGCGGTGAGAAAGAGCCTCCCGGGTTCGACTCCATCCGCACCCTTTTGACGCCTTTGTGCCGCCTCGGAGTATTGCAGTCCAATAGTTGCTGTTTGGCCAAGGTACTTGGCCACTCTCCCTCAAGCTACAACCTGCTCTTCATTAGGGCATTGGACAACCCTAGCCAGATGCGTGGTAGCAATTGCTGCATCCCCATCTCGCATCCACCGCTTCTCCACATCTCGCTCAATGTGAAGCCCAAGGTAGTAGTTGACGTCACCAAGGGTCTTGCACTTGAACTTGTCTTGAAGCTTCAGCATCACCTCCTTCACAAGGTCAGAGGAGGGTGAGAATATGAGGATGTCATCCACATAAACCACCATGAAGCTCCTCTGCTCCCCCTCGCCAAGCATGAACAAGGATTGATCGGCCGTTGAGGGAGTGAAGCCGATCGCCTCCAAGACTTCCCGCAGCTTGATGTACCATTGCCTAGGGGCTTGCTTGAGGCCATAGAGTGCTTTCTTCAGCTTCCACACTCTGCCACTCCCATCATTGTACCCCTCTGGCTGCTCCATGTAGGTCTCTTCCTCCAAAACGCGTTGAGGAAGGCCGTTACAATGTCCATTTGCTTCACCACCCATCCTTTGATGGCCGCCGCGGCGAAGAGAGTTCAAAGGGTTGTACCCTTCACCACAGGAGCATATACTTCATTGTAGTCCTTCTTCTCCTGCTGCTGGTACCCCTTGGCTACAAGTCTGCTCTTGTAGTGCTCAATGTTGCCGTCGGCGTCGCTCTTGCGCTTGAAGAGCCACTTGGAAGAAATCGCCTTACGCCCCGGAGGTAGGTTCACCAAGTCAAACGTGTCGTTCTCGATG